ATTTTTCCTTAGCTTTAATCAGATTTTCACAAGGTTCTATGATCTACAAAAAGATTGAGAGAGATTACCTAATAGTTAATGAAGTCAGGATCAAAATTCTAAGAAACATTTTATGTACTTATATCAATAAAAGTAGTACATTTTTTTAAAAAAAATGTTTACGCGATATCTACTAAAATGAAAATGATAGGCATTTTGTCACTATGAGATCGAGAGTCCGTATTTCTAACAGATCTTTCTCCTAGGGAATATCTGAAACACAAGGAGAAAGAAAAATACGAGGTGCTTAAGGACTTGAGGAATATGAGCAGTGGCAATTTGTGTCCTGTTTTAAAACGCACTATCCCGTTTGGAGTTGCTTATCACCACGGTGGTTTAACAAGTGATGAAAGGAAGCTCTTGGAGGAGGCCTACTCCGCAGGAGTTCTCTGTCTTTTCACCTGCACATCCACCCTAGCAGCAGGGGTCAACCTGCCAGCTCGCAGGTAAGAGAGAAGTAACTGCCAGCCAGGCTGGAACTGGGTTCCATTCCTAGCTTGCAAGGAGCTGTTTTGCTGTTTACCTCCTCCTTAGTAGTGACTGAGAATTTATCAAATGTTTTTTTTTTCAGCAAAAACTTAGTTTATTATATCTCAAACAAGATGCAGTATAATCAATAAAATTGTGCACCTAAACTGTCGACACAGTTTTGCCATCTGAACAGTAGCTTGCTTATGCCAGCCGCAAAGAAGCCTGGAGAGCAAATGGCGATGAAATTGCAAAAGGCGTTTTCCACAGCTTGGTGAGAATTGAATATTTTTCCTTGCAAGAAGTGGTCCAAAGCCTGGAAGAAGTGGTCATCAGTTGGTGCAAGTTCTGGTGAATACTGTGGATGACAGAGAGTTTCCAAGTCCAGCCTCTGTGGTTTGAGCAGCATTATTTTTTGTTACATGAAAGAAGACTACTTAGTCGCAAGCATTCTCATCATTTCGTCCTTCTGGTTGCAATAGACATCCGCTATAATCGATTGACCAGGTTTCTTAAAACTATAGTGGATAATACCAGCACTGGACTATCAAACAGATACCATTTGCCTTTTTTGGTGACTATTCAGTTTTGGACTGTGTTTCGCCACTTCACCTTTATCCAGCTATTGTGCCAAACACTTGCGATTGTGAAAAATAATCTGTTTTTCATGACATGTGACAATACAGTGTAGAAGTGGTTCACCTTTATGTCACGACAGCAAAGAAAGGCAAGCTTCAAGGCGATTTCTCTGCTGGCACTTGTTGAATTTATGCAGCGCCCATCCACCCAGCTTCTTTATCTTGCCCATTTGTTTGAAATGATCCGATATTGTTGGAATAGTAACGTCAAACCTTGCTGCTAATACATACATAGGCTGAGATGGATTCTCTTCCACTACAGCTTTCAGCTCATCATGGTCCATCTTGGTCTCAGATCGCCCACATGGCTCATTTTCAAGATTAAAATCACCAGAACGGAACTTCTCAAGCTATCAATGTACTGTGCGTTCATTAGCCACATCCTTCCCAAACACTTCTCTGATATTTTCAGATGTCTGTGCTGCATGGGTTCCACGACAGAACTCATATTTGAAAATAACATGAATTTTTGGTTTTCACAAAAATTGCTCCAAAAAAAAAAAAAATTAAAAGATAATCACAAGCCAAAACGTGTGTTTGAAAGAATGAGGATGTACCTTCACAATAAAAAAAAAACAAAACAAGAAGTGTTAAAGTGAAATGTCAGAGCTATCAACTGTCAAACTTAGTACTTAAGGAAATCAGCCATTCCATACGTAATAACCTAACATACTCTCCTACTCTGTTGCATGAATGTTTCAATTACCCAGAATTTACCCAGCTGACAACAGACAACAATATACATGAACATGATTGAAAGGTCAAAAACAGTTGAAATCGGCGATTTCATATAGTTCAAAATAATAAAATACATAAATATGTGTATGTTGGTTGCACATAGTCAAATTTTTTATTTACGGAATATAAAATCAAAAAACTTTGGAGAATACTGCCATAGATTGATCATAGGCCTTGTAACTAGCCAGACTTGAGTTCATATGATTGTTCCTATAATTACTGATTTTGTAGTTTAGAGTAAGCCACTTAACTGAGTTTTATTTAGTTCCTTTGTAAAAAAAAATATTAAATAAAATGAAATAAAGTAAAAAAAATTACTAAAAGTTTTGTAAGAATGACAGATAATATACGTAAGAAACCTAAGAGATCATATATTCTTGGTAAATAATAGTTACCTCTTATTTTGAGTTACTATGTCATTCAATTTAATATCACATAGAAATTAAGAGTTTTAAAAATAGGTGCTATTTGCTGTAGAGTGTCACTTTTAATTAATTTTATCAATTCCTCAGAGTTATTTTAAGAGCTCCCTATGTTGCTAAGGAATTTTTAAAGAGGAATCAATATAAACAGATGATTGGCAGAGCTGGCCGAGCTGGAATAGATACTGTTGGGGAAAGCATCCTTATATTGCAAGAGAAAGACAAGCAACAGGTAATACGCAGTCTAGCTGGCTGGCTGTTTTTGTCTTCCTTTTCTTGGTCTTTAGCCTTTTTATGAGATCATCTTTTCAAAGTTAATTATTAATTTCCCGTTGTAATGCTTCCTCTCCTATATGATGAAGAACTAGAAAGAGTAGTTTGAAAATTTTTATATTTCAGACAATGAAAAAGTATTTTCCTTATTTATTTTTCTTTCTTTCTTTTTTTTTTTTTTTTAGACAGGATCTCACTCTGTTGCCCGGGCTAGAGTGCCGTAGCGTCAGTCTAGTGTGTGTGTGGATATATGTATTTTTTTAGTTGTCCAGCTAATTTCTTTCTATTTTTTTTTTAATAGAGACAGGGTCTTGCTCTTGCTCAGGCTGGTCTCGAACTCCTGAGCTCAAATGATCTGCCCACCTTGGCCTCTCAGAGTGCTGGGATTATAGGCATGAGCCACCGGGCCTGGTCCCATTTTTCTTCCATTTTTATGAGGACAAATATTAAATTCTCATTTTTTTCTTTATGTTTTTTATCTCCTCCTAGCTCTATAAGATTTGTGTAAGGTGTAAAATATGTATATGGAACACTGTTTATTTTTCATAATAGCACAAATCATAATGTTGCTTTAACTTTTATAGGTATTGGAGTTAATAACTGGACCAATGGAAAACTGTTATAGCCATCTTGTTCAGGAATTCACCAAGGGAATCCACACTTTGTTTCTCTCTTTGATTGGTTTAAAGGTATTTCTTAAGATATTTCAATCTTATTACTGTTACCTGAGATAATAAATGTTAAAAAGTTATACAAACTTATAAAATGTTAAAAAAAAATGTTAACTTCTAATCTGATGTGGAAAAGAACAGTCTATGACATGACAAATCTTGAGTCTAGATTTATATGTATGCTTTTAATCCTTTGAGTTACAAGACATGTGAAAAGTCAAATGATAACCAGCATCTGTCACAAGTACAAGTACTGAATGTCTAGCGACTCTGTTTCCTTTAGAGCAACCGGCCCGATCTCTCCTGTCGAGCACTAGAGCTCTCACGGGGCGGATGAGAAACGCTCATCAAGGACACCAGGGGTTGTGCAGATGCGCTGCGCAGCCACGCCAATCACTAGGGCTGATTTTCATAGCCACGCCCATCACTAGGGCTGATTTTCATAGCTACGCCCATCACTAGGGCTGATTTTCATAGCTACGCCCATCACCAGGGCTGATTTTCATAGCCACACCCGTCACTAGGGCTGATTTTCATAGCCACACCCATCACTAGGGCTGATTTTCATAGCCATGCCCACCACTAGGGCTGATTTTCGTGGCCATGCCCACCACCAGGGCTGATTTTCATAGCTACACCCACCACCAGGGCTGATTTTCATAGCTACGCCCATCACCAGGGCTGATTTTCATAGTCACGCCCATCACTGGGGCTGATTTTTCATAGCCACACCCATCACTAGGGCTGATTTTCATAGCCATGTCCACCACTAGGGCTGATTTTCATGGCCACGCCCATCACTAGGGCTGATTTTCATAGCCATGTCCACCACCAGGGCTGATTTTCATAGCTACGCCCATCACCAGGGCTGATTTTCATAGCTACGCCCATCACCAGGGCTGATTTTCATAGTTACGCCCATCACCAGGGCTGATTTTCATAGCCACGCCCATCACTAGGGCTGATTTTCGGGGTAGGGCTTCTATTGTGCACGTGCTTAGACATCCTGCTAGGGCTTATTTTATGGGTAGGTCTTATTTTCGGGGAAACAGCATTGCTTTAGCAGGTAGGGGAGCACAGTAGGAAAATGTTCTCTTCCCTGGAGACCAGAGCAGTCAGAACAACAGGGAGGTGAGGGAATGAGGTGGCCGCAGGGTGTGGCCCAGCCACGTGGAGCAGTTGACTCCACTGCACCACTGCTTCATTCGAATCCCGTTTTACCAAATGGAGGGGAGCAGCGAGACATGCAGGTAACAGCTGGCTCAGGAGCTGAGCGGGTGGGCAGCTGGCATCCAAGCCTGCCCATAGGGGGCAGGACTCAGGCCGCCGGGTCCAGTCCCGAGGGGGCCAGGCCAGGGCTCCTCCTCGGCCTGGGGGTGGCGGCCACAGCAAGGCTGCAGTGGAGGAAGGGGGCTGGAATTCTAGACAAGGTCAGTAGCCAGGGAAATCTTTAGGGTTGGAACTGAAGCAAGAGTCAAGTCCTCTGGACAGGAACTACCCGGTGGGATAGAGTTGAGCGGGAAGAAGGCAAGATCTGTGACCTGGTCGCTCAAGGTCAGGAGTTCGAGACCAGCCTGAGTAAGAGCGAGACTCCGTCTCTACTAAAAATAGAAAGAAATTAATTGGCCAACTAATATATATAGAAAAAATCAGGCCGCGCGCAGTGGCGCATGCCTGTAGTCCTAGCATTCTGGGAGGCCGAGGCAGGAGGATCACTTGGTCAGTTCGAGACCAGCCTGAGCAAGAGCGAGGCCCCATCTCCACTTAAAAATAGAAATTAGCTGGATGACTAAAAATATATAGAAAAAAACAACAACAGAGCACAGTCTTGGAGATATTATGAGAAATTATTCAAAGACCTATTCAAAAGACAATATTCAAAGGAGAAATGAAAAATATGTACGTGTTTTCATAAAAAGCATGAATATAGTAACTATCTTCTCCCTTAAACGTTCTGTTGTTCATTTTAAATTGCTGTTATAAAATGTATGCAACTGTGTAGGTTTTGTGCTAATTCTTTATTGAAATAGCTTTGAGGTGTGGAAAGGAGCCCTCATCTTGGTTACTGTGCATTCAGAGTGATGCCTTGAATTAAGAGCATGCTCCAATGGTGTCCTGAATTGTTTCAGATTGCAACAAGCCTCGGTGACATCTATCAATTTATGAATGGTACGTTGTTTGGTGTTCAGCAAAAGGTTTTATTGAAAGAAAAAAGTCTGTGGGAAGTCACTGTTGAATCACTTAGATACCTGACAGAGAAAGGACTCCTGCAAAAAGACTCTATTCATAAGTCTGAAGAAGAGCCCAGTGTAATTTTCATATTACAAAGTTGGGACGAGCTTCTTTAAGGGTAAGGAGTTTGCCTACACCTCATTATTAATCTGGGAAAACACATTGGGGGAAAATAGAAATGAAATCATTCTTTCTTAAATCGATTTGTAATTTTATATTATATAATTAATCTTATTTTATGAGCTGATAAACTATTTCAACTTTGAAAGTTGAAATGCTTTGAATTTTATGTCTATTAAAATACTGCAGAAGCATGTAGAGAAAAAGATGGGCACAGTCCTTCCATAGTCTTTGACTGCACCAGCCATACAAATTTTAATATCCTACCAAGGATAAATAACACTTTGGTATATATCTTTCAGACCCTTTTTGTATATTTTATGTATTATGCATAATGCATGCATATATACGTTTGAAGTTTTTGTTTTTAAACAAATAATCATTTATATTGTTCTTGAAATTGCTTTTTTCCCCTTAATATTATATCTGAGAGATTGTTCCATGATAGTGAATAAAGAGTTTTCATTCTTAATGGCTGTGTCATAACTTACTTAGTGAAAATTAATACGTATCTATTATTTAACATACCTAAGAACTCAAAATGATGTTAAGGAAATTCCATTCCTCTGCGTTATTAGATAGATGAAAAATAAAAAAGGAAAGAAAAAATATAAAATAAATATAAATAAAAAAGGAAATTCCTATATTTCTGTCCCATTTCTACTCTCTCAGGGGCTACCACTGTGAACAGTTCGATGTATGTTCATCCAAATATTTATGTGCATATGTGTGAGTATATATATATATATGCATATGCACATAGTTGTTTTTTTTAATGAAATCATGGTGTAAATTTTGTTTTGCAGCTTGCCTTTCTCATTTATAAAATATCATGGACATCTTAACAAATCAGTCCCTTTAAATGTATCTCATTTTTCTTTTAATACTATAGTCATCCTTAGTGTGGTTGTACCCTTATTTATTTAACCATTCCCCTATTGATAGACATTTACATTGTTTCTGATTTTTCTCAATTACAAACAAGACTGCATGGACATCTGTATTTATGTATTTTGGGATACATATGGAAATGTTTCTCTGAGTTAGATTCCCAAAAACAGAATAGTTGGGACTGAAAGTATGTACTTACTAAACATTGATGGATACTATCAAAATGGCATTCAGAATAGTTACATAGTAAGAGATTGTGAGGACTTTTTGCTATATTTAGAGGTAATTTCTAAACAAAACTACTTAAAATGACCTCTTTCCCCCTCTGGTAATTTTGAAAGTTGAAATATTTCTATCTTTCTTTTAGGAACTATAGATTTAGCTTATTGTAACGTTCTCTACAAAGACTTAGAGAAAGGTCTGGAAGGACTTGTGCTTGAGAGCCTTTTTCACCTAATCTACCTGACAACCCCCTATGATCTGGTTTCTCAGTGTGAACCTAATTGGATGATATACTTCTGGCAGGTGAGAAGATTTTTCAACTTAGGATACTTAATTTACTAATGATGGTTTGATCTTTGTCAAGTGATTATTCATTTTTTTGTCCTCCATTAAAATATATTTTTAATTGGGTCTTCTTGACCAGCCTTAAAAAATAATAATAATAATTGGGTCTTGTCTCTTTGAGTTTTTAACAATAGTAATATAGCAACAGCATTTTGGTTTGCTTAATGTAAGTACTTTCTGTTAAATATAAACATTTTCATTATCAAAAAAATAAAGGTACAAAACAGAAAAAAGGATTACCCCTGGCCCCGTTCCCCCAAAGATAGCTACTGTTATGATTTGGTGATCACTGCGTTTTGTCATGCCTAAAATGTAAAGAAAATGGTAAAAGCCATCTCTGATGATCGAGAATTTAATTATATGAAAGCTCTATTAGAGTCAAGCATGATAATACACCAAAACTCGTAATGTTAATGCTTGAAAAGCAATAGTTATTTTATAACCATTAGCAAGGTGAAAATTGCCCTACTTACTACAAACCCAATAGACTGTAGCATACAGTCTATTACATTACTACAAACAAGCTAGCTATATGAACACGTATTAGGCAGAAATAGTATATAGCTTTTGATCACAAGAAATTAACTTTCTTTTTAATGTCATATTTTTAAATCACCACTGTAAGTTGTTTTCAGTGGTACCATATCATATAATTAACTTTCAAATCATTTCCCTCTTCTCCCTCCCCTCAGCAATCTCTAGTATTAAACATAATCACATAGCCCATGGAGACCAGTACTTGTGGCCATGCCTCGAAGTAATTCTACTAAAGTATATTATATTCTAACAATGTGTTTTTAAGACTTGCAATATTTGTGAATAAATATTGCAAATAAATAAATGTATGTTGTTTTTTCATATCTTTTAAAATCATGAAAATGCAATATCAAAAGAAATACTAGATTTGGTTCAAATGACAGATTTTTAAAAGTTTGATATTTCCATGTATTTACTCTTTTTCTATGTAGTTTAGCCAACTCAGTCCAGCAGAACAAAATGTAGCTGCTCTCCTGGGAGTCTCTGAAAGCTTTATCGGGAAGAAAGCCTCAGGTCAAGCCATCAAGAAGGTACCATATCTTTTTTCTTCCTAAATAATGAACTAAGTTCACTCAAGAAAATTAATACGGCCGGGCGCCATGGCTCACGCCTGTAATCCTAGCACTCTGGGAGGCCGAGGTGGGCGGATCGCTCGAGGTCAGGAGTTCAAAACCAGCCTGAGCAAGAGCGAGACCACATCTCTACTATAAATAGAAATTAATTGGCCAACTGATATATATAGAAAAAATTAGCCGGGCGTGGTGGCGCATGCCTGCAGTCCCAGCTACTCGGAAGGCTGAGGCAGGAGGATCGCTTGAGCCCAGGAGTTGGAGGTTGCTGTAAGCAAGGCTGACACCACGGCACTCAATCTAGCCTGGGCAACAAAGCGAGACTCTGTCTCAAAAAAGAAAATTAATACCAATATAGCAGGTATACCTAGTATACCTGGCTGTCCTGTAACACAACTTCATTCAGTGTACCTCTTGTCCAAACTTAATATAACATACATTTTTAGCGTGTCCATTACATTAATTTATTTGGTTGTGTCTTTCTAGAAGGTGGACAAAGACATAGTCAACAGACTCTACCTGTCTTTTGTTCTTTATACGTTGCTCAAAGAGACCAACATTTGGAGTGTGTCTGAAAAATTTAACCTGCCTCGAGGATATGTGCAGAATCTTCTCACCGGAGCTGCCTCATTCTCGTCTTGTGTGTTACATTTCTGCGAGGTGATTCCATTAAATATATGATACGTACTTTGCGCATCGTCTCATTTTAACTGTTACTAAACTTATAAACCAGTTAGTGTATCGTTGTGTTCTTGTTATTGATTTACTCTATTATAAACCACTCAAAATTTACTTAAAATATTTCTAGGCCAGGCGTGGCTCACGCCTGTAATCCTAACACTCTGGGAGGTCGAGGCGGGAGGATCACTCAAGGTCAGGAGTTCGAAACCAGCCTGAGCAAGAGCAAGACCCCACTCTGACTAAAGAATAGCGAGCATATTATGACCGGCTCATATATAATACAATATCGGTACTTTAAGTAGTAATATATACAGAGCACCACAAAAGCCAGGGTGTTGGTGGCAATTGCCTATCTGAGTCCCGGTACTGGGAGGGCTGAGGGAGGAGGATCGCTGTTGGAGCAGGAGTTGGAGGTTGCTGTGTGAGCTGTGTATGACGCCATTTTTTTTGTTTTACGTACGGGCCCTGCAATTGTGTCGCCGACTGGACTGACCCTAATAGAATAAGTAGAAATACATTACTAATAATGAGTAGTTGTACAAATAATAGGGGTAGTGCGTGATCTATAGCGATAATAATAGCTATTGTATAGTGTGTTACTAGTATGTGGTTTACTGTTTTATCTGTCTTGGTTACTAAGAAAGTGGGTGTGGTTGTTTCT